CTAACAGATACTGAAACTAGAACTTTAAAGACGTCCAACTGACAGAACCGAGCAGAACGTTTCCTGATTGTGTTTAGAACAATCTAGAACACACAGACCTGGACCAGACCTGGACCAGACCTGGACCAGACCTGGACCAGACCTGGACCACTGAGGGATTACACACATTTAAAGACACATGGACCAGGGACTGGACCAGGACTAAACCAGGACTAAACCAGGACTAAACCAGACTAGGACTAGACAGACTAGACCAGACTGACCAGGACTGAACCAGGACTGAACCAGGACTAGACCAGGACTAGACCAGGACTAGACCAGGACTAGACCAGGACTCACTCAGATATCAGGTCACATGGGAATAGAAAAGAAATTTCTGTTTATGGTGGGATCAGAATCGGTATCGAGTATCGAGTCTGTTCTTTGGTATCGATATTTAGTTTGTTGAACTTTTAGTACCATGACCTCCTCTTGACCTCTCAGTGACCTCTTGACCTCTGCCCTCAGGTTCCCGGGTTTTAAGGAGGTGCGTTTGGTTCCGGGGAAACACGACATTTCGTTTGTGGAGTTTGAGAGCGACACTCAGGCCGGAGTCGCCAAAGACGCTCTGCAGGGCTTCAGGATCACGGCCACGTGCGCCATGAAGATCTCCTACGCCAAGAAGTGACCCTGAACGCACCACGCCCCCGAGACACGCCCCCGAGACACGCCCCCGAGACACCCCGAGACACCCCCGAGACACGCCCGAGACCGCCCCCGAGACACGCCCCCGAGACACGCCCCCGAGACACGCCCCCGAGACACGACCCCCGAGACACACCCCGAGACACGCCCCGAGACACGACCCCGAGACCCCCGAGACACGCCCCCGAGACACGCCCCCGAGACCCCACACGCCCCCGAGACACGCCCCGAGACACGACCCCCGAGACACCCCGAGACACGCCCCCGAGACACGCCCCCGAGACACGACCCCGAGACACGACCCCGAACGCACCGCCGCCCACCACCACACAGAGACAGTCCTTTGAATCCTGAGTTTGAGTCCCGAGTCTCCAGTCTAGAGTTCGAGTCCAGAGCACAGAGACGGGACCCCGGTAGCTCCAGCTCAGACCTGGACCGGTCTCGGCCTCGGCCCTGGGCCGGTCTCGGTCTCGGTCTCGGCCTCGGCCCTGGGCCGGTCTCGTCTCGGTCTCGGCCTCGCCTCGGCTCGGCTCTCGGCTCGGCTCGGCCTGGGCCGGTCTCGGCCCGGCCGGTCTCGGCCTCGGTCTCGGCCTCGGACCTGGACCGGTCCTTGGACTTTCACAGTAAACCTGCTCAGTGTCATGTTTCATTCAGGCTTTTATTTTGTAGGAGTGACAGGAAGTACCTGGGGTTTGTTTGATTTGTTTTTTTTGGAGTCTGGAGGCTCAGAACTGTCAACTTTCATTTGTTTTGTAAAAATTCTGAATTTTTCTTTTTTGTAATGAATTTGTGTTTTTAAAATAAAATGTAAAACTCGTGTGTGGAGCGTGTGGTGTAACGACGGTTCATCTCTCCTCTTCTACTTGAGTATCATTATTCTGAAGTAAAGTTACTCTTACTTGAGTACAGTTTTACTCTCCTCGAAGGGGGAGGGGGAGGGCATCTGGGTGAGTTTGTGGCTCTTGTGGCAGATTCCTCAGACTCGTGTCAAACTTCACCAAAAGACTTCAGAGGAAACTCAAGACTTCATCAACAAGTCTGAGGATCATAACCAGACTCACCCGGGTCTGTGAGGATCGTAACCGGACTAACCCGGGTCTGTGTGAGGATCGTAACCGGACTAACCCGGGTCTGTGTGAGGATCGTAACCGGACTAACCCGGGTCTGTGTGAGGATCGTAACCGGACTAACCCGGGTCTGTGTGAGGATCGTAACCGGACTAACCCGGGTCTGTGTGAGGATCGTAACCGGACTAACCCGGGTCTGTGTGAGGATCGTAACCGGACTAACCCGGGTCTGTGTGAGGATCGTAACCGGTCTTTGTGTTTCCTTCAGAGATGGTGCAGGACCAGGATGAGCTCCAACCTGAGCTCAGAGACGAACTTCTACGAGAACGACGTGGATTATCAGGTCAGTACCACAGACCAGGGCTTAGTCCTGGTCTAGACCTGGTTTAGTCCTGGTTCAGTCTTGGTTTAGTCCCGGCTCAGTCTTGGTCTGGTCCTGGCTGAGTCCTGGTCTGGTCCTGATCTGGTCTTGGTCTGGTCCTGGTCTGGTCTCTGGTCTGGACCTGGTCTGGTCCCGGTCTAGTCTTGACTCAGTCCCGGTCTGGTCTGTGGTCTGGTCTTGGTCAGGTCTTGGTCTGGTCTCTGGTCTGAGTCCCGGTCTGGTCTTGGTCTGGTCTGTGGTCTGGACCTGGTCTGGTCCGGTCTGGTCTGGTCGGTGGTCTGGACCTGGTCTGTTCCCGGTCTGGTCCCGGTCTGGACCTAGTCTGAGTCCCGGTCTGGTCTGTGGTCTGGTCTTGGTCAGGTCTTGGTCTGGACCTGGTCTGAGTCCCGGTCTGGTCTGTGGTCTGGACCTGGTCTGGACCTGGTCTGAGTCCCGGTCTGGTCTGTGGTCTGGTCTTGGTCTGGTCTTGGTCTGGACCTGGTCTGGACCTGGTCTGGTCCCGGTCTGGACCTGGTCTGAGTCCCGGTCTGGTCTGTGGTCTGTGGTCTGACCTGGTCTGGACCTGGTCTGGACCTGGTCTGGTCCCGGTCTGGTCCCGGTCTGGACCTGGTCTGGACCTGGTCTGGTCCCGGTCTGGACCTGGTCTGAGTCTCGGTCTGGTCTGTGGTCTGGTCTGTGGTCTGGTCTGTGGTCTGGTCTGTGGTCTGGTCTGGACCTGGTCTGGACCTGGTCTGGTCCCGGTCTGGTCCCGGTCTGGACCTGGTCTGGACCTGGTCTGGTCCCGGTCTGGACCTGGTCTGAGTCCCGGTCTGGTCTGTGGTCTGGTCTGTGGTCTGGTCTGGTCTGTGGTCTGGACCTGGTCTGGACCTGGTCTGGTCCCGGTCTGGTCCCGGTCTGGACCTGGTCTGGACCTGGTCTGGTCCCGGTCTGGACCTGGTCTGAGTCCCGGTCTGGTCTGGTCTGGTCTGTGGTCTGGTCTGTGGTCTGGTCTGTGGTCTGGTCTGGACCTGGTCTGGACCTGGTCGGTCTGGTCCCTGGTCTGGTCCCGGTCTGGACCTGGTCTGGACCTGGTCTGGTCCCGGTCTGGACCTGGTCTGAGTCCCGGTCTGGTCTGTGTCTGGTCTGGTCTGGTCTGGTCTGTCTGTCTGGACCTGGTCTGGACCCTGGTCTCCGGTCTGGACCTGGTCTGGTCCCGGTCTGGACCGGTCTGGACCCGGTCTGGACCTGGTCTGAGTCCCGGTCTGGTCTGTGGTCTGGACCTGGTCTGGACCTGGTCTGGACCTGGTCTGGTCCCGGTCTGGACCTGGTCTGAGTCTGGTCTGGTCTGTGGTCTGGACCTGGTCTGGTCCCGGTCTGGACCCGGTCTGGACCTGGTCTGGTCCCTGGTCTGGTCTGGACTGGTCTGGTCCCGGTCTGGACCTGGTCTGGACCTGGTCTGGTCCCGGTCTGGACCTGGTCTGAGTCCCGGTCTGGTCTGTGGTCTGGTCTGTGGTCTGGACCTGGTCTGGTCCCGCTCTGGACCCGGTCTGGACCTGGTCTGAGTCCCGGTCTGGTCCCGGTCTGGACCTGGTCTGAGTCCCGGTCTGGTCTGTGGTCAGGTGTCGTTGGAGGACGTGGGCGGTCCGGGGGGCGTGGTCTTCTCGTGGGCGGCGGGGGTGATGGCGGCGGCGTTGGTGCTCATCATGGCGGTGTGCGGTCTGGGGAACCTGGTCCTGGTCCGGTCCCTGGTCCGGTCCGGGGGTCCTCGGTCCCTGGCGGGGAGACTGGTCCTGCACCTGGCCCTGTCGGACGCGCTGGCGGCTCTGTGCTGCCCCCTGCTGTTGGATTATTACACGGTGCGCGGGCTCAGCTGGAGGTTCGGGTGGAGCGTCTGCGCCGCCGTCGGGTACGTGCGGGCGCTCTCCCTCCACGTGTCCACCAACGCCCTGCTGGGCATCGCCCTCGACAGGTACGGACCTGACGGACCGAGGACCCACGGACCTAACTGACCCGACTGACCCGATGGACCCGATGGACCGACGGACCCGACAGACCGGGTTCAGACCATGATCCAGGTCTTCACATCTGGAGCGATGGATCAAACACAGAGCGACCTGAGGTGTCCTGAGGAGACCCGAGAAGACCCGAGGTGACCCAAGGCGACCCGAGAAGACCCGAGGCGTCCCGAGACGTCCCGAGGCGACCCGAGGAGACCCGAGGTGACCCGAGGTGACCCAAGGTGACCTGAGGTGGAGCTGGGTTTGACTCATCCTCCAGGAGCAGAAGAGGATCTTAAACAGGATCCTGGTCTTATCCCGGTCCTCTGGTTCTTCTGGTTCTTCTGGTTCTTCTGGTTCTTCTGGTTCTTCTGGTTCTTCTGGTTTCTCTTGTTTCTCTTGTTTCTCTGGTTCTTCTGGTCTCCTCTGATCTCAGGTACCTGGCGATCGTGCACCCTTTGCGGCCGCGCTGTCACCGTTCTTGGCCCGTGGTCGTGGGGGTCTGGTTGGTCCCGGCTCTGGTCTCGGTCCCCGTGGTCCTCACCTCGGCTCAGACTCAGTTCTCCGGAGCGGATGGAGTCGTGAAGACCTTCTGTGGTCAGGTGAAGCCTCCTCAGATCCAGAGCCTCCTCCCTTTGATGTTTTCAGTCGAATAAAAGTTGGTCATGTCTGTGGAATGTTTCACTCACAAACCAAACTCCAACAGACCAGTGTAAAGAACGAGTGTAAAGAACGAGCGTAAAGAACGAGCGTAAAGAACGAGCGTAAAGAACGAGCGTAAAGAACGAGCGTAAAGAACGAGTGTAAAGAACGAGCGTAAAGAACGAGCGTAAAGGTGTGTGATGATTTGTTCTTTTGGACACTGATCCGTCTGTAGTTTGACTCCACGTTTGTAAACAGGAGTTTGAGCTGCTGCTTTAAACAGTGGAGTCGTTCACACAGGACCAGACCTGACGACCTGAGGGGATTTGTAAAAACTGTAGGATGAGAGATCTGAAAAATTTAAGTTTACACATTAAATGTAAAGTATTAAACATAAACTTTACATTTAGAGTGTAAACTTTACATTCTAAATGTAAAGTTTACATTCTAAATGTAAAGTATTAAATGTAAAGTTTACATTCTAAATGTAAAGTTTATACTCTAAATTTAAAGTATTAAATGAAAAGTTTACATTCTAAATGTAAAGTTTACATTCTAAATTTAAAGTGTTTAAATGTAAAGTTTACACTCCAAATGTAAAGTATTAAATGTAAAGTTTACACTCTAAATTTTACAGTCTAAATGCAAAGTTTATACTTTAAATGTAAAGTTTACACTCTAAAGTTTACAGTCTAAATGTAAAGTTTGTTTCATGTGTTGGTGTGTTTGTGTAAGTCAGGTGTTTGTGCGTTTGTGTGATGTGTTTGTGTGATGTGATGTGTGTTTGTGTGTGTTTGTGTGATGTGTTGTACGTGTTTGTGTGATGTGTTGTGTGTCTGTGTGTGATGTGTTTGTGTGTTTGTGTGAGTTATGTTTGTGTTGTGTGATGTTTGTGTGATGTTTGTGTGTTTGTGTGTTTGTTGTCTGATGTTTGTGTGATGTGTTTGTGTGTTTGTGTAGTGTTTGTTGTCGTTTGTGTGATGTGTTTGTGTGTTTGTGTGATGTGTGTGTGATGTGTTTGTGTGTTTGTGTGATGTTTGTGTGATGTGTTTGTGTGTTTGTGTGATGTGTTTGTGTGTTTGTGTGATGTGTTTGTGTGTTTGTGTGATGTTTGTGTGATGTGTTTGTGCGTTTGTGTGATGTGTTGTGCGTGTGTGATGTGTGTGTGTGTTTGTGTGATGTGTTTGTGTGTTTGTGTGATGTTTGTGTGATGTGTTTGTGTGTTTGTGTGTGTTTGTGTGATGTGTTTGTGTGTGTGTTTGTGTGATGTGTTTGTGTGATGTGTTTGTGTGTTTGTGCGTGTGTGTGTGTTTGTGTGATGTGTTTGTGTGTGTGTTTGTGTGTTTGTGTGATGTGTTGTGTGTTTGTGTGTGTTTGTGTGATGTGTTTGTGTGTTTGTGTGTGTGTTTGTGTGATGTGTTTGTGTGTTTGTGTGATGTTTGTGTGATGTTTGTGTTTTCAGGTGTGGAGTGTGGACCATCGTTCTCTGTATCAGACCTACTTCCTGTCTGTGATGATCCTTCAGTTCCTGTTTCCTGTCGGGGTCATGACCTTCTGCTACAGCCAAGTCTGCAGAGAACTCTGGTTCAAGGTGAGACCTGGTCCAGTCCTGGTCCAGACCTGGTCCAGTCCTGGTCCAGACCTGGTCCAGTCCTGGTTCAGTCCTGTTCCAGTCCAGGTCCAGACCTGGTCCAGTCCTGGTCCAGTCCTGGTTGAGTTCTGTGTCTCTCAGACGGTCCCGGGGTTCCAGACGGCTCAGGTCCGGTTGCGTGTTCTGGGTCGGCGTAGGACGGTCCTGGTCCTGGTCCTGGTCTTGGTCTTGTACGTGGTCTGCTGGAGTCCGTACTACATCTTCTCTCTGCTGCGAGACTTCCACTCGTCCTTCATGTCCTCGCAGAGACACGGACTCACCGTCTTCTACGCCGTCGACTGTCTCGCCATGTCCAACGGCGTCATCAACACGCTCGCCTTCGTCTGGGTCAAGAGACCGGACCGGACCGGGACCGGACCCGGGTCCAGGACCGGGACCAGACTCAGACTCAACACTTTCACCGAGACCAAGTCCAACGTGGAGGACAACCGCACCACGTCCACCAAGGGGACGGAGACCGAGACTAGGAGAGGACTCGTTTAGACCTGGTTTAGTTCTGGTTTAGACCTGGTTTAGTTCTGGTTTAGTCCTGGTTTAGACCTGGTTTAGTTCTGGTTTAGTCCTGGTTTAGTCCTGGTTCAGTCCTGGTTTAGACTTTGTCTTTTTATTTGTAAAATGTCTTTTAATTTTTTTTTTACACAAACATCAAGACCAAAACATTCTGAAGTGAATCTTTTTTCTGTCGGGTTTAGATCAGGCCTGATTTTAGTTTTTATTTTAGTATTTTTATTTAATTTTTATTTTAGTTTTTAGTTTTTATTTTATTTTATTATTTTTTATATTTTTTTAATTTAGTTTTTATTTTAGTTTTTTTATTTTAGTTTTTATTTTTCTTTTCATTTTAGCTTTGATTTTAGTTTTTTTTTATTTTAGTTTTATTTTATTATTTTTAATTTTAGTTTTTATTTTAGTTATTTTTATTTTAGTTTTCATTTTTGTTTTCATTTTAGCTTTTATTTTAGTTATTTTATTATTTTTAATTTTAGTTATTTTTATTTTAGTTTTTATTTTAGCTTTTAATTTAGTTTTTTTTATTTATTTTAGTTTTTAGTTTTATTTATTTTATTATTTTTAATTTTAGTTTTTATTTTTATTATTATTTTTTTTATTTTAGCTTTTATTTCAGTTTTTATTTTAGTTTTTATTTTTATTATATTATTTTTATTGTTGTTTCTGTGGGAGCAGAATATTTACTGAGAGAATAAAAGTAAAATAATCCCTGTCGTGTTTTGTGTTCGTTCGTACGATGGAGCAGATTTATTTCTTGTTTCATGAAGTTTCAGTGTTTTTCTGTCAAGTGTTTGTGGCTTTTTATAAAATAAAGAACAAAATAAATCCCCGTTTCACCTCCAGAACAAACAAACTGCAGCGTGAATCAAACGTCAAGAAACAGACACGAGGCTCTGAACAAAATCCACCAACGAAAAACGACTTTCCATCGAGCAGAGCCAAGAAAAGTAATGGATTACTTTATTTAAACGAGTAAAGTAATGGATTACTTTATTTAAACGAGTAAAGTAATGGATTACTTAAACGAAAGATGGATTACTTTATTTTAACGAGTAAAGTAATGGATTACTTTATTTTAACGAGTAAGTAATGGATTACTTTATTTAACGATGTAAGATTACTTTATTTAAACGAGTAAAGTAATGGATTACTTTTTATTTAAACGAAAGTAATGGATTATTAAAGTAATGGATTACTTATTTTAACGAGTAAAGTAATGGATTACTTTATTTTAACGAGTAAAGTAATGGATTACTTTATTTAACGAGTAAAGTAATGGATTACTTTATTTAAACGAGTAAAGTAATGGATTACTTTATTTAAACGAGTAAAGTAATGGATTACTTTATTTAAACGAGTAGAGTAATGGATTACTTTATTTAACGAGTAAAGTAATGGATTACTTTATTTTAACGAGTAAAGTAATGGATTACTTTATTTTAACGAGTAAAGTAATGGATTACTTTGTCTTTACGAGTAAACAGGACGGGTTCCCTCGAGCTGCAGAGGAACATTTCAGTTTAGAGGTTTTTAGAACATTTAAGATTTTCCAAAATTTTTCTCCTTCGTCTGTGTAAATGTGAGTTTAAAGTGTCGCACGAGTCAGAAAAACAAAAAAACAGAAAAACAAAAAAACAGAAAAACAAAAAAAAAAAACAAAAAAACAGAAAAACAAAAAAACAGAAAAACAAAAAACAGAAAAACAATCCACATCCAGGCTCCAAAAATGAAAAAAAGAAGGAGAACCACAAACGAAGGAGAACAGAGAAAGACACATGTTTATTTAGAAAACTTCAAAATCTACAGAACAAAAAAAACATTCAAACTTCACAATCGTCTTTTCAAAACTACTGTAGTGATTTAACCCTGGTTCAGTCCTGGTTCAGTCCTGGTTTAGTCCTGGTTCAGTCCTGGTTTAGTCCTGGTTTAGTCCTGGTTCAGTCCTGGTTCAGTCCTGGTTTAGTCCTGGTTTAGACCTGGTTTAGTCCTGGTTCAGTCCTGGTTCAGTCCTGGTTCAGTCCTGGTTTAGTCCTGGTTTAGTCCTGGTTTAGTCCTGGTTTAGTCCTGGTTCAGTCCTGGTTTACTGGAGTCCTGGTTTCAGTCCTGGTTCAGTCCTGGTTTAGTCCTGGTTTAGTCCTGGTTCAGTCCTGGTTTAGACCTGGTTTAGTCCTGGTTCAGTCCTGGTTTAGTCCTGGTTTAGTCCTGGTTCAGTCCTGGTCCAGTCCTCGTTCAGTCCTGGTTTAGTCCTGGTCCAGTCCTGGTTCAGGTGCGGCGCCTGACGAAGCCCCGGGCCTCCTTCTGAAGTTGGCTCAGGTCCTCGGACTCGGACTCGGACGACCTGGAGCGTTTGGGAGGTTCGTAGTCCGACTCCGAGTCGATGAAGCTGCTCTCGTACTCGTCCTCTTCATCATCATCATCATCATCAGGACGTTTGGACGACGAAGGACGAGAACGACGGACTGAAAGAGAAAAAAGTGTCAAAAACTCTTCGCCTTTTCACCTGAGTTCAGACGCCCCGACGCTCGAGTCTTTGACGCCGCGAAGCAACGGGACAAAAATACTTGACGCGCATCTGTTGCCTCGTACAGACTCGTACTGTGGGAGCGTGTGGGCGGAGCCTCGTACAGACTCGTACTGTGGGGCGTGTGGGCGGAGCCTCGTACAGACTCGTACTGTGGGAGCGTGTGGGCGGAGCCTCGTACAGACTCGTACTGTGGGGGCGTGTGGGCGGAGCCTCGTACAGACTCGTACTGCGGGAGCGTGTGGGCGGAGCCTCGTACAGACTCGTACTGCGGGGGCGTGTGGGCGGAGCCTCGTACAGACTCGTACTGGGGGGCGTGTGGGCGGAGCCTCGTACAGACTCGTACTGCGGGAGCGTGTGGGCGGAGCCTCGTACAGACTCGTACTGTGGGGGCGGAGCCTCGTACAGACTCGTACTGTGGGGGCGGAGCCTCGTACAAACAGGTCTTTGAACATGTTTGAGTCTGAAACCTTCAGGTTTGTGACGAGGAACAAAGTTTATTTAGAAAAGATTAGTCCAATGTCTGTGACAGGGACAGACAGGTGCAGACAGGTGACAGATGCAGGGACAGACAGGTGCAGGACAGACAGGTGACAGACAGGTGACAGACAGGTGACAGTGACAGACAGGTGACAGACAGGTGCAGTGACAGGTGACAGGTGACAGACAGGTGCAGTGACAGGTGCAGGGACAGACAGGTGCAGTGACAGGTGCAGTGACAGGTGACAGGTGACAGTGACAGGTGCAGTGACAGGTGCAGTGACAGACAGGTGCAGTGACAGACAGGTGCAGGTGACAGACAGGTGCAGTGACAGGTGTGACAGTGACACAGGGACAGACAGGTGACAGGTGCAGACAGGTGACAGGTGACAGGTGCAGTGACAGGTGACAGGTGCAGTGACAGGTGCAGGGACAGACAGGTGCAGGTGACAGGTGCAGTGACAGACAGGTGACAGGTGACAGTGACAGTGACAGGTGCAGTGACAGGTGCAGTGACAGGTGACAGGTGCAGAGGAGGGTCTGACCTGGTCTCTTCGTGTGGCTGAACTCTTTTCGATGTTGAAGATTCTTCCTGAAACAGAAAACCAGATCTGAGCCAGAACCTGGACCAGGATCTGGACCAGGATCTGGACCAGGATCTGACCTGTGACCTCTGACCTGTAGCAGTCGGTGCCGTAGGGACACTCAGGTTTCTCAGAGTCCTGATCTGAGTCCTGGTCCTGGTCTGGATCCTCGTAGTCCGGGTCTCCAGGGTGACTCTGCTCCTGGAAGTGAAGCGGGTTCTTCCTGTGAATGAAACACAAGTCCAGGTTTAGTCCTGGTTTAGTCCTGGTTTAGTCCTGGTTTAGTTCTGGTTTAGTTCTGGTTTAGTTCTGGTTTAGACCTGGTTTAGACCTGGTTTAGTCTGGTTTAGTTCTGGTTTAGTCCTGGTTTAGTTCTGGTTTACTGGTTTAGTCCTGGTTTAGTCCTGGTTTCCTGGTTTAGTCTGGTTTAGTCCTGTTTCTGGTTTAGTCCTGGTTTAGTCCTGGTTTAGTCCTGGTTTCTGGTTTAGTTCTGGTTTAGTTCTGGTTTAGTTCTGGTTTATCTGGTTTAGTCCTGGTTTAGTCCTGGTTTAGTCCTGGTTTAGTCTGGTTTCTGGTTTAGTCCTGGTTTAGTCCTGGTTTAGTCTGGTTTAGTTTAGTCCTGGTTTAGTTCTGGTTTAGTCTGGTTTAGTCTGGTTTAGTTCTGGTTTAGTCCTGGTTTAGTCTGGTTTAGTCCTGGTTTCCTGGTTTAGTCCTGGTTTAGTCCTGGTTTAGTTCTGGTTTAGTCCTGGTTTAGTCCTGGTTTAGTCCTGGTTTAGTCCTGGTTTAGTCTGGTTTAGTCTGGTTTAGTTCTGGTTTAGTCCTGGTTTAGACCTGGTTTAGTCCTGGTTTAGTCCTGGTTTAGACCTGGTTTAGTCCTGGTTTAGTCCTGGTTTAGACCTGGTTTAGTTCTGGTTTAGTTCTGGTTTAGTCCTGGTAGACCTGGTTTAGTTCTGGTTTAGTCCTGGTTTCCTGGTTTAGTCCTGGTTTAGTCCTGGTTTAGACCTGTTTAGTTCTGGTTTAGTGGTTTAGACCTGGTTTAGTCTGGTTTAGTTCTGGTTTAGTCCTGGTTTAGTCCTGGTTTAGACCTGGTTTAGTTCTGGTTTAGTTCTGGTTTAGTCCTGGTTTAGACCTGGTTTAGTTCTGGTTTAGTCCTGGTTTAGACCTGGTTTAGTCCTGGTTTAGTCCTGGTTTAGACCTGGTTTAGTTCTGGTTTAGTTCTGGTTTAGACCTGGTTTAGTTCTGGTTTAGTTCCTGGTTTAGTCCTGGTTTAGACCTGGTTTAGTTCTGGTTTAGTTCCTGGTTTAGTCCTGGTTTAGTCCTGGTTTAGTTCTGGTTTAGTCCTGGTTTAGACCTGGTTTAGTCCTGGTTTAGTCCTGGTTTAGACCTGGTTTAGTCCTGGTTTAGTCCTGGTTTAGACCTGGTTTAGTTCCTGGTTTAGTCCTGGTTTAGTCCTGGTTTAGTCCTGGTTCACCTGTAGCAGTCGTTGCCGTAGGGACAGGGACGTCTCCTTGGAGCAGGTGTGGAGCTTTTTGCTGCAGCTGAGACTGGACCAGGACCAGGACCAGGACCAGGACCAGGACCAGGGTCTGGACTTTCTGCTGGGGCCTGTTCAAACACATGTCACAGGTTAAAGGTCAAAGCTCAAATATTCTACTTTTCTCTGTTGCACCGAGTGATGTCATCAGGTGTCCAGGACTAAACCAGGACTAAACCAGGACTAAACCAGAACTAAACCAGGACTAAACCAGAACTAAACCAGGACTAAATCAGAACTAAACCAGAACTAAATCAGAACTAAACCAGAACTAAACCAGGACTAAACCAGAACTAAACCAGGACTAAATCAGAACTAAACCAGAACTAAACCAGGACTAAACCAGAACTAAACCAGGACTAAACCAGGACTAAACCAGAACTAAACCAGGTTTAAACCAGGACTAAACCAGGTCTAAACCAGGACTAAACCAGGACTAAACCAGAACTAAACCAGGACTAAACCAGGACTAAACCAACTAAACCAGAACTAAACCAGGTCTAAACCAGGTCTAAACCAGGACTAAACCTGACAGAGTCAAACTCACGTTGTTCTTCTTCTTCTTCTTCGGCCTCTGCTCCTCCCCCTCACTCTGCCCCGCCCCCTCCGACGATGATGTCACAGGGGGCGGGGCTCTGGGGACTGGTGATGTCACAGGAGGCGGGGCTCTGGGCGCCGGTGACGTCACAGGGGGCGGGGCTCTGGGGACTGGTGATGTCACAGGGGGCGTGGTCTGTCTGGGTGCAGAGGAGGACGTCTTTCCTCTTTTCACTGTGAAAAAACAACACAAAATGATAAAAAGATTTCTCCACTCCTCTTCCTCTCTTCCTCTCCTCTATTCTTCCTCTTCCTCTCTTCTTGCTCTTCCTCTACTCTTCCTCTCCTCTTCCTCTTCTTCTTCCTCTACTCTTCCTCACTTGTCTTGGGGCTGGAGGTGGATCTTGTTGAAGGAGCAGCAGACATCATCCAGGAGGGCAGCACTCTGGTCCTGGGAGAAGACACTTTCCGGTCTGGACCTCGGTCCGGACCTCGGTCCGGTCTCTGGTCTGGATCTCGGTCCGGTCTCTGGTCTGGACCTCGGTCTGGTTTCTGGTCTGGACCTCGGTCCGGTCTCTGGAGGACACAAACAGAGACCAGAGCTTTTTGTTTGACGTTATTGGCAGAGAGAAAATTACTCTTTTTTTTCCCCACAAACCTCATCCCGGCCACAGTTTTCCTTCTCTTCATGTGATTGGTCCGTGCTCCGAGTGGGCGGGGTCTGTGTGCGGTCTAGGCCAATAGGAGAGGACGTCCTACGATCGTGTCCTCGCTCCTCAAAGACCTCGCTGTTCCTGAGGACGAGACAAAAACACAGAGGACGAGACAAAAACATGAGACAAAAACACAGAGGATGAGACAAAAACATGAGACAAAAACACAGAGGACGAGACAAAAACACGAGACAAAAACACAGAGGACGAGACAAAAACATGAGACAAAAACACGGAGGACGAGACAAAAAACACGGGACATATTTGAACAGAGAATCTGACTCGGGGGTTTCATAGTTTTGATGAAATGTTACCTCTGAGTGTCCACACGCTCCTGTCTCCTCTCGTCTCCGTTGTTTTGGTCCGGTCTCTGGTCCGGTCTCTGGTCCGGTCCCTGGTCCGGTCTCTGGTCCGGTCTCTGGTCCGGTCTCTGGTCCGGTCTCTGGTCCGGTCTCTGGTCCGGTCCCTGGTCCGGTCTCTGGTCCGGTCTCTGGTCCGGTCTCTGGTCCGGTCTCTGGTCCGGTCTCTGGTCCGGTCTCTGGTCCGGTCTCTGGTCCGGTCTCTGGTCCGGTCTCTGGTCCGGTCTCTGGTCCGGTCTCTGGTCCGGTCTCTGGTCCGGTCTCTGGTCCGGTCTCTGGTCCGGTCTCTGGAGGACCTCGTAGCAGAGTTGTCCAGGCAGCAGAGACACGGTGTCTCCGGGCTGTAGGACCCTCCACTGGTCCCGGGTCAGAGGACTTGGACTGGACTCGGAGCTGGTCTGGACAAAGACCGGGTTCACGTGGATCTGACAGGAGCAGAGGTCGGTGACAGGTGCAGAGGTCGGTGACAGGTGCAGAGGTCGGTGACAGGTGCAGAGGTCGGTGACAGGAGCAGAGGTCGGTGACAGGTGCAGAGGTCGGTGACAGGTGCAGAGGTCGGTGACAGGAGCAGAGGTCGGTGACAGGTGCAGAGGTTTGTTTAATCAATATGGTTCAGCTCGAGTTAAAAGTCGTCGTGTCAGGGTTTGTCCAAAATGAAGGAGACAGGAGATAAAACGTAAGACTTGGGATGTAGGATGTAGGAGGTAGGTGTTAGGAGTTAGGATGTAGGAGGCAGGATGTAGGAGGTAGGAGTTAGGATGTAGAATGTAGGAGTTAGGATGTAGGATGTAGGAGTTAGGATGTAGGAAGTAGGAGTTAGGATGTAGGAAGTAGGAGTTAGGAGGTAGGTGTTAAGATGTAGGAGGTAGGATGTAGGATGTAGAAGTTAGGATGTTGGAGGTAGGAGTTAGGATGTAGGATGTAGGAGTAGGAGTTAGGAGTTAGGTGTTAGGAGTTAGGAGGTAGGAGTTAGGTGTTAGGAGGTAGGAGTTAGGAGGTAGGTGTTAGGAGGTAGGTGTTAGGAGTTAGGGTGTTAGGAGTTAGGAGTTAGGTGTTAGGAGTTAGGAGTTAGGAGTTAGGTGTTAGGAGTTAGGAGATAGGAGTTAGGTGTTAGGAGGTAGGAGGTAGGAGGTAGGAGGTAGGTGTTAGGTGTTAGGAGGTAGGAGGTAGGTGTTAGGTGTTAGGTGTTAGGGTTAGGAGGTAGGAGGTAGGTGTTAGGTGTTAGGAGGTAGGAGGTAGGTGTTAGGTGTTAGGTGTTAGGAGGTGTTAGGAGGTAGGAGTTAGGTGTTAGGAGGTAGGTGTTAGGTAGGAGGTAGGTGTTAGGTGTTAGGAGGTAGGTGTTAGGAGTTAGGAGGTAGGAGGTAGGAGACACTCACAGACTTGAGGAGCAGTTTTCCGTCAGAGTTTTGCAGCAGAGCGTGACTCCGAGAAACTCTCTTATCACTGACCTGAAACACAAACATCCAACACTGAGACCAGGACTGGACCAGGACTGGACCAGGACTGGACCAGGACTGGACCAGGACTGGACCAGGACTGGACCAGGACTGGACCAGGACTGGACCAGGGGACTCATTTATAAAAACTGCGCAGATGTTGTCGTAAGTTAGTGCGTACGTTTAATAGCTACGACAGTCGAGCGCCGCAAACTCCATATTTAGAAAACCCACCGCACGAACCAAACCTGCAACCCCCTCACACCTCCACCTCACCATAAAAGGACAGACCACGCCCCCTCACACCTCCACCTCACCATAAAAGGACAGACCACGCCCCCTCACACCTCCACCTCACCATAAAAGGACAGACCACGCCCCCTCACACCTCCACCTCACCATAAAAGGACAGACCACGCCCCTCACACCTCCACCTCACCATAAAAGGACAGACCACGCCCCTCACACCTCCACCTCACCATAAAAGGACAGACCACGCCCCCTCACACCTCCACCTCACCATAAAAGGACAGACCACGCCCCCTCACACCTCCACCTCACCATAAAAGGACAGACCACGCCTCCTCACACCTCCACCTCACCATAAAAGGAGCAGGTAAAGTGACTCGTGAATGAAATTTCCCTAAACATGAGTCGATAATCAGACACGCGGGACAGAGGAGGAGGAGGCTCCACGCAGCACCACGTGATCACCACAAACACTTTATTAAAGACTTTATTAAATAAGGTTTAATAAATACAAAACTAAAAGTGACAATAATGACTCATCTGTTCATTTAATCATATTTCATAATATTACGGCAGAACATCTTTGCAGTAAAGACCATGTGTTTTTTCACTGTTTCAACAGTTTTATCTCTATATTTTTAAGTGTGTCTATGATGTGTGTGAGGACTGGTCCTGTATTTATACATATACACGTAGATACGTGCACGCGCTGATCTGAATGGTCAAATTATGAGCGCGTGCGAGAGATTCAGATGCCCCTGGAGAGGGAAAGGAGCGAAGGAAGGACACGAGGACACGAGGACGAGGACACAGATTTGGACAAGGAAAGAATCAAACATCAATACAGATGATTCTGTGAGTCTGTGTGAAGTCATGTGGGTCAGAAAGTCTGTGACTGTGAGGTCTGTGAGTGTGTGGTCTGTGAGTCTGTGGTCTGTCTGTGAGTGTGTCTGTCAGTGTCTGTGAGTGTCGGGTCTGTGAGTGTGTGTGAGTGTGGGTCTGTGAGTGTCGGGTCTGTGTGAGTGCGGGTCTGTGTGTGGGTCTGTGAGTGGGTCTGTGAGTGTCTGTGAGTGGGTCTGTGTGGGTCTGTGAGTGTGGGTCTGTGAGTGTGGGTCTGGGTCTGTGAGTGTGGGTCTGTGAGTCTGTGTCTGGGTCTGTGAGTGTGGGTCTGTGAGTGTGGGTCTGTGTGTGTGGGTCTGTGAGTGGGTGTGAGTCGGGTCTGTGAGTGCGGGTCTGTGAGTGCGGGTCTGTGAGTGTGGGTCTGTGTCATGTGCTCAGTTCCACATTACACAAAAATGTAGGGAAGATTTTGGTTGGGGTCAGGTTTTGGCAGTAGACTTCGTGTTGTCCACAGACTCGGGTCGCAGACTCGGGTCACAGACTCGGGTCACAGACTCGGGTCACAGACTCGGGTCACTCTGGCGCTCGGTGCGTAAAGACTAAAGTAAAAGTGTTAAAGTTTTGTTCATTAAATCAAAGTCTGGCTCCTGCTGCGTCTGAGGGAAGAGTTTAGTCTCAGGTCGGGTCATTATTTCGTCCTCTGTGTTGGTCAGTCTGTGTTGGTCAGTTGTGTTTTATAAAGTCTGTGGTCTTGGTGTGGACTGTGGGACTCTGCGCTGCACCGAGTCCGGGAACGTGTCCGCGCTTGTGCACAAGTTTAAATGTTTAATATTGTGGAGAATAATGATGGAATAAACAGACCTTCTCCGTGTTTTGTTGAACCAAACACTTAAATGTACAAATCAGAAGGTCATTCTTCTGTATACGTGGATTTTCTGATCAAACTCTTCCTCAAACTCTGTTCACTTCTGCTTCTCTCCACGAGTGTCGCTTTTTCCCCGTGTCTCCAGACTTTGTGTAGAACTTACAGGAGGTTCAGAGTTGGTGTAGAGTTAAACAAAGAGCCACGACTTAGTCGAGTTTTATAAATACCGCGGTTGGTGTAGGAAGCGACGACGCACGGATTTTTGCGTAAGCGAGATTTATAAATGAGGCCCCAGGACTGGACCAGGACTGGACCAGGACTGAGACCAGGACTGAGACCAGGACTGAGACCAGGACTGAGACCAGGACTGGACCAGGACTGAGACCAGGACTGAGACCAGGACTGGACCAGGACTGGACCAGGACTAGACCAGGTCCAAACCAGGTCTGGGACTCACCCCGAGCAGTGGTCCTCGGCCCAGCACAGTGTCTCCTGGGGGCACAGGGACCGGAGCTCCTCCAGCGAGCGGACGCAGCTCGAAGCCCCACATCAGGCTCCGAGACCGGGGTCAGTCTGAGAGAACCTCCCCTGATCCTGGAGACACAAGAACCAGGACTGAACCAGGACTGAACCAGGACTGAACCAGGACTAAACCAGGACTAAACCAGGACTGAACCAGGACTAAACCAGGACTAAACCAGGACTAAACCAGGACTGAACCAGGACTGAACCAGGACTAAACCAGGACTAAACAGGACTAAACCAGGACTGACTGAACCAGGACCAGACTAAACCAGGACTACTAAACCAGGACTAAACCAGGACTGAACCAGGACTAAACCAGGACTGAACCAGGACTAAACCAGGACTAAACCAGGACTGAACCAGGACTAAACCAGGACTAAACCAGGACTAAAACAGGACTAAACCAAGACTGAACCAGGACTGAACCAGGACTAAACCAGAACTAAACCAGAACTAAACCAGGACTAAACCAGGTCTGAACCAGGACTAAACCAGGACTAAACCAGGACTGGACCAGGACTGAACCAGAACTAAACCAGGACTTTAGGCTTTAGTCACACAAAATCAATGCTATTTCAAAATCTAAACTTTTGAGCTCAGACAGGCAATGTAGCTTTCATTTATACATTTATTTTTTTTTACTGTTTTTGTTTAGTTTAGTTTAGTTTTTTTACAGTTTTACTGCAGGAAACTTTATGAATGAGAGAAACTCCGAGGTAAAAGTAAGATTTCATAAACTATACAGTAGCAGAAGACACACTTTCTCCGCTTACCTTTCAATGGAGGGAATTAAAGTGAAAATAAAGTGGTTTTGGTCTTTAAAATGTTTTTATTCTGTAAAAAGAAAAGGATTAAAATAGTTTAAAAGTCACGCTGTTCCTACTGCGTCCACATTCAAAACATCCGGGTACACTGAGCATGCGCAGAGGACACAACAGTCGAACCCGCCCAGTTTATTATTTAATTTAATTAAATTTTTTTTTTTTAACTTTTATTCATACGCACGTGTTTGTTCATATTCTCAGTAGTATTTATACATGTGGGTTTTTTTTTTAAAGCAGGTTTTGAATGTTTTGTTTTGACTCCGTGGCACATGCGCAGTGTGTGCAAACAGCCGTTTAAAAGGCCGACGGCAAAAACACGATTCTTTTATTCTATTTAATTTATATTTTTACTTTTGTTCATACGTACGTGTTTGTATTCATATTCTCATACGTGACAGTAGTATTTATAATTTTTATTTTTTATTATTTTTAAAGCAGGTTTTGAATGTTTTGTTTTGACTCCGGGGCGCATGCGCAGTGTGTGTAAACAGAGCCGTTTAAAGGGCCGAGCTGTCAGCGACGGTAAGACATGTTTATAACGCTTTAATAAGGCTTTAATAACACTTTAATAACGCTTCGGGACGCGGTTTATGCGCAGAATAGCTCCGATGTCATTACGGTTCGTTTAAAGTGTGATTAGGTGAAGAGTTTGGAGCTTTGAGGCGAACTGAGCGTGTTCGGGGCGGAGGTCCTCAGTCTGCAGACAGATCAGGGACAACAGGACTAAACCAGGACTAAACCAGGACTAAACCAGGTCTAAACATGACTAAACATGGACTAAACAGGAAACCAGGACTAAACCTAAACCAGGACTAAACCCTAACCAGGACTAAACCAGGACTAAACCAGGTCTAAACATGGACTAAACATGGTAAACATAAACCAGGACTAAACATGGACTAAACATGGACTAAACCAGGACTAAACCAGGACTAAACCAGGACTAAACCAGGACTAAACCAGGTCTAAACCAGGACTAAACCAGGACTAAACAGGACTAAACCAGGTCTAAACCAGGACTAAACCAGGACTAAACCAGGACTAAACATGGACTAAACATGGACTAAACCAGGACTAAACCAGGACTAAACCAGGACTAAACAGGACTAAACCAGGACTAAACCAGGTCTAAACATGGACTAAACCAGGTCTAAACCAGGACTAAACCAGGACTAAACCAGGACTAAACCAGGTCTAAACATGGACTAAACATGGACTAAACCAGGTCTAAACCAGGACTAAACCAGGACTAAACCAGGTCTAAACCAGGACTAAACCAGGACTAAACCTAAACCGGACTAAACAGGACTAAACCAGGACTAAACCAGGTCTAAACCAGGACTAAACCAGGACTAAACCAGGACTAAACCAGGACTAAACCAGGTCTAAACATGGACTAAACATGGACTAAACCAGGTCTAAACCAGGACTAAACCAGGACTAAACCTGGACTAAACCAGGACTAAACCAGGTAAACCAGGACTAAACCAGGACTAAAGGACTAAACCAGGACTAACCAGGTCTAAACCAGGACTAAACCAGGACTAAACCAGGTCTAAACCAGGACTAAACCAGGACTAAACCAGGACTAAACCAGGACTAAACCAGGTCTAAACCAGGACTAAACCAGGACTAAAAACCAGGACTAAGACTAAACCAGGACTAAACCAGGTCTAAACCAGGACTAAACCAGGTCTAAACCAGGTCTAAACCAGGACTAAACCAGGACTAAACCAGGACTAAACCAGGTCTAAACCAGGACTAAACCCGGTCTACAAAATAAAACAGTCCTGCATTATGAGCGGTTTGGTCCTGGATAGTTATTCTTGAAAATTAAACTTTTGGAGTCATCGTCTGATTAAAACATAAACGTCCTGATCTGATTTGATTTCAGACGGTCCATCTGATCACGGCAGATTTTTAGTTTTGAATTCTGAGATGATTTGAATTCAGAGATGATTTGAATTCAGAGATGATTTTAAAACTCTTCTTCAGGCCTTGGTCCATTTTTGTTCATCACAACGTTTTTTTCTTGCATAACTGTGTGTGAATCGTCTGGAGACGGTTCATGTGTTTATGATCAAATAAACATCAGGCCGTTCACAAAAACTTTTCTTGCTTTAAACTCTCGTCTCTGTGCAGGTTTTATCGTGGAGCCGACATACGATGGAGCACCGAGACCAGGGGCCCCGCGGACCCCCTGCTCCTGTCTGCTCCTGTCTGCACCTGTGCTCAAAGGGGCCGGTCGTAGGGGCCCACACTGACTCCAGTCAACATGAGACAGAGTGTACAAAGGTCTGCGCTGACCACTGCGGATCAGAGACACAGACCTGCTCCTGCCCGCCCCTGCTCCTGCCCGGGCCCTGCTCCTGCCCGGGCCCCTGCTCCTGCCCGGGCCCCTGCTCCTGCCCGGGCCCCTGTGACTTCTCGAGGAGCCTCCCCGCTGAGATGTCGGAGCAGATCTTCCTGCGGTTGGACGCCTGGAGCCTGTGCAGAGCGTCTGAGACCTGCAGACGCTGGCACCTCCTGATCCAGGAGAGCGAGGCCCTGTGGAGGGGCCAGTGTGGGCTCCTGAGGGCCCACTGCAGCCGAGAGCTGGAGCGAGACCGAGGACAAGGACTCTCCTGGAAGGTACTTGCTTTAGACCTGCTGTAGTCCCGTTTTAGTTCTAGTTTAGTCCTGGTTTAGACCTGGGTTAGACCTAGTTTAGGCCCGTAGTGATGATGTCGTATTTCCTCGTGATGATGATGTCGTGTTTCCTCGTGATGATGTCGTGTTTCCTCGTGATGATGATGTCGAGTTTCCTCTTGATGATGATGTCGTGTTTCCTCGTGATGATGTCGTGTTTCCTCTTGATGATGATGTCGTGTTTTCTCGTGATGATGATGTCGTGTTTCCTCGTGATGATGTCGTGTTTCCTTGTGATGATGATGTCGTGTTTCCTCGTGATGATGATGTCGTGTTTCCTCGTGATGATGATGTCGTGTTTCCTCGTGATGATGATGTCGTGTTTCCTCGTGATGATGTCGTGTTTCCTCGTGATGATGATGTCGTGTTTCCTCTTGATGATGATGTCGTGTTTCCTCGTGATGATGATGTCGTGTTTCCTCGTGATGATGATGTCGTGTTTCCTCTTGATGATGATGTCGTGTTTCCTCGTGATGATGATGTCGTGTTTCCTTGTGATGATGATGTCGTGTTTCCTCGTGATGATGTCGTGTTTCCTCGTGATGATGATGTCGTGTTTCCAGGTGACTCTGGTGAGGAATTACACTCGCAGTCGTCTGAAACGTGATTGGCTGAGAGGACGTTTCAGCCGTGTTCAATCAGCCAATGAGCTGCGAGACGTCAGGATGGTCCCGTTCGACGCCGAGTCCTGGGGCGAGATCCTGCAGGCCGAGCTGGACCGCTGAGACCGGGACTGAACCAGGACCGAACCAGGACCGAACCAGGACTGAACCAGGACCGAACGAGGACCAAACCAGGACTGAACCTGGACTGAACCTGGACTGTGCAGAGTCTCTGCATCTTTTTATGTTTAAATCTAATATATTTTATGAATAAACTTTGTAAATAATGTTTTTTTATTATAATTTTATATGAGCAGAGATGGAATCATTATGAACGGCGTCGTGTGGTTTTAGAATGTTTTTATGTAAACACTGAATTCATGAACAATAAAATATTTAAACACAAACTGTCTCAAAAAACTTTTTCATTTTATTTTTGCTCAAATTAAAACTGTACGACACAAGTTCAGCTGTTTAAAAGATCAGGACAAGTCCGGTGAAGAGACTTTAAAAACACAGAGCAGCACTTTTGGATCACCACCTGATGATGTCACGAGGTGAAGAATGAACCAAAACAAAAAGCAAAATAAACAGGCACAAAAACACTGAGGGAAAACCATAGAACTATAATCAAATCTAAAATAAATAAATAAATAACATAATAATAAATAAACACAATAAATCAATAGAAGTAAATGAATAAATACATAACTAAAGTCAATAAAATAAAAACATAAAATAGATAAAGTACATTCTTATTATCGATCCAAACGAACACGTGCGCGGTCCTGTTCTCTGCTTCCGGTTTTATTTTGAAGACCGGAAATATTCATACACACACGGACGCTTTACGTCAGCTCAGCATCCTCCATCCGCAGCGGACCAGGACCAGGACCAGGACTAAACCAGGACCAAACCAGGACTAAAGACCCGGACAGAGCCTGAACCCAGACACGGCGGAAACCAGGACTAAACCAGGACCAAACCGGGTCTGAACCAGGACTGAAGCGGGTCTGAAGCGGGACTATGGAAGGCGACGGTGTTCCCTCGATCGTCGACATCTCCATCGCGCTCGCGCTGCAGCCGAACGACGCCCCGGTTTACTTTAAGGTGGACGGGACTCGGTTCGGGCAGTGCCGAACCATCAAGCTCCTGACGGGCTCCAAGTACAAAGTGTCTGTGGTGATGAAGCCCGGCTGCGTGCAGGCCACGTAAGTTACGCAGGGTTTACGCAGGGTTTACGCACGGACCCGTAGGTTTTCATGAATGCTCCGGGTTCGTGTTTAAAACGTGAGGATGTTTTCGTACGGGACGCGTTCTGTGTCGCTCGGAGTTTAGATTCTCGTCACACCTTTAGTTAAAGAGCTCATTTGCATAACGGGCCCGTCCTCGCGCGCACGTCTCATTGGGCGCACCTGAGCACGCGCTTTCACGTTTCACTTGTACCGATTTGAAGGAGAAAAATGCGAATGAACAGAAGCACGGCCCCGAGTCTCCCCCGGCGACACACGCGGAAAGAGACGCCTCTGCTCCGGTTACAGAGTCCGGGGGGCGGGGCCTGTGTCCGGGGGGCGGGGCCTGTGTCCGGGGGGCGGAGTACGGGGGGCGGGGCCAGTGTCTCGTAGCCCAAACCGACAGTGACGCTGCCCTGGCCAAACAAACGCCCTCACGTTTTTACGTTTATAGTCGAATAGATCCAATAAACCCAAACCCTGACCCCTGACCCCTGACCTCTGACCTCTGACCCCTGACCCCTGACCCCTGACCTCTGACCGCTCCAGTTTGACCGGGGGCTCAGGTTTGCGTTGGGACGGTGGGGACGTGTCACAACAATATTTGGGGAAGACAAAATCACCCCGACAAATATTTGACATTTTATTTTAAAAAACAAAAATATTCATTTATTCTGATATTTTTCCAAACTCAATAGTTTTAACTGAACAGATCTGAGGTCACATTTAGTTTCTGAGACGTTCTGAGATGTTTTCAGTGATCAGTGTCGGGAGTAACAGATTACATGTACTGGAGTAATCAGAGTACAAATGATGAGTAACTGTATTCAGTTACAGTTACTGTTTCAGTGAGTGGTAATTGGATTACAGTTACTTTGTTCAAATAAATGGATTATACAGAGAACTAAACCAGGACTAAACCAGGACTAAACCAGGACTAAACCAGGACTAAACCAGGTCTAAACCAGGACTAAACCAGGACTAAAATAAAAATCATGACAATATCAAGTAATCCAAAGTAATCAGATTACATTACTCACTTTAAGTAATTTAATGGATTACGTTACAAACTACATTTTGGTGTGTGTAATCTGTAATCTGTAGGGGATTACATTTTAACACTGATCACAGAAGAGTTTCTCAGAGTGTCTCAGTGTCTCCTTTTTCATCCAGTAAATTCTTTGTCCGTTTGGGATTTCTGAGGAGCTCCTGGTTGTTCTCCGCCCGCCGCCGCCCGCCGCGGCGTCCCTCCCCGTCCCCGTCGGCGTCCCTCCCCGTCGGCGTCCCCCGTCGGCGTCCGTCCCTCCCCCGTCGGCGTCCCTCCCCGTCGGCGTCCCTCCCGTCCGTCGGCGTCCCTCCCCCGTCGGCGTCCCTCCCGTCGCGCTCCCCTCCCCCGTCCGTCGGCGTCCTCCCCGTCGGCGTCCCTCCCCCGTCGGCGTCCCTCCCCGTCGGCGTCCCTCCCCCCGTCGGCGTCCCTCCCCGTCGGCGTCCTCCCCGTCGGCGTCCCTCCCCGTCGGCGTCCCTCCCCGTCGGCGTCCCTCCCCGTCGGCGTCCCTCCGTCGGCGTCCCTCCCCCGTCGGCGTCCCTCCCCGTCGGCGTCCCTCCCCCCCGTCGGCGTCCCTCCCCGTCGGGCGTCGGCGTCCCTCCCCGTCGGCGTCCCTCCCCCGTCGGCGTCCCTCCCTCGTCGGGCGTCCCTCCCCCGTCGGCGTCCCTCCCGTCCCTCCCCGTCGGCGTCCCTCCCCGTCGGCGTCCCTCCGTCGGCGTCCCTCCCCGTCGGCGTCCCTCCCCCCGTCGGCGTCCCTCCCGTCCGTCGGCGTCCCTCCCCGTCGGCGTCCCTCCCCCGTCGTCGGCGTCCCTCCCGTCGGCGTCCCTCCCCCGTCGGCGTCCCTCCCCCGTCGGCGTCCTCCCCCCGTCGGCGTCCCTCCCCGTCGTCGCGTCCCTCCCCGTCGGCGTCCCTCCCCCGTCGCGCGTCCGTCCCTCCCCGTCGGCGTCGTCCGTCCCCCGTCGGCGTCCCTCCCCGTCGGCGTCCGTCGGCGTCCCTCCCCCGTCGGCGTCCCTCCCCGTCGGCGTCCCTCCCTCGTCTCGGGGCTCAGGTGTTTGTGTCCGTGTGGCGCAGGACCATGAACATCGGGGGTGTGGTGTTTCCTCTGGAGGAGCAGAGCCGAGACGAGCAGAGCGTCACCTACCTGGGAAAATACAACACGGAAGGAGTTCCACACACCAAGAGCGGAGACCGACAGCCCGTCCAAGGTCAGATCGAGAGGTCAGGTCTTCAGAGGTCAGAGGGGAGGACCAGGAGGAGGGAGGGTCAGAGGAGGTTTTCAGAGGGTCAGAGGGAGTCAGAGGTCTTCAGAGGGTCAGAGGACAGAGCAGGTCTTCAGAGGGTCAGAGGGAGATAGGAGGTCTTCAGAGGGTCAGAGGAGGTCTTCAGAGGGTCAGAGGGTCAGAGGGTCAGAGGAGAGAGAGGAGGTCTTCTTCAGAGAGGTCTTCAGAGGAGGTCTTCAGAGGTCAGAGGGGTAGGTCTTCAGAGGGTCAGAGGAGGTTTTCAGAGGGTCAGAGGGACAGAGGAGGTTTTCAGAGGGTCAGAGGGTCAGAGGAGGTCTTCAGAGGAGGTCTTCAGAGGGTCAGAAGATCCCTGACCTGGTCTCGTGTCTCAGTTTCAGAAGGCCGGGACGTTCGAGACCGTGTGGCAGGCGAAGTTCTACAACTACTACAAGAGAGACCAGAGCCAGTGTGGAAACAAGTTCAGCTCCATCGACTACGAGTGCAAACCCAACGAGACCCGCACGCTCATGTGGGTCAACAAGGAGGCCTTCAACTGACCCCTGACCCCTGACCCTAACCCCGTCCCTGACCCTGACCCCTGACCCCTGACCCTTGACCCCTGACCCCTGACCTTGACCCCGACCCCGACCCCTGACCCTGACCCGAACCCAACACACGCTCATGTGGGTCAACAAGGAGGCCTTCAACTGACCCCTGACCCCGACCCCGACCCCTGACCCTGACCCAAACCCAACGAGCGTTGTGTCAGAGTTGAGTTTGAGCTCTGGTGTTCTGCACACACACCTGTCAGTCACTACAACAACACACACACACGTGTGAGCTGCTCTGTGTGTGTGTGTGTCTGTGTGTGTGTGTGTGTGTGTGTGTGTCTGTGTGTCTGTGTGTCTGTGTGTGTGTTGTGTGTGTCTGTGTGTCTGTGTGTGTCTGTGTGTGTGTCTGTGTGTGTGTGTGTGTCTGTGTGTGTGTCGTGTGTGTGTGTGTGTGTGTGTGTGTGTGTCGTGTGTGTGTCTGTGTGTGTGTGTGTGTGTGTGTCTGTGTCTGTGTGTCTGTGTGTGTCTGTGTGTCTGTGTGTCTGTGTGTGTGTCTGTGTGTCTGTGTGTGTGTCTGTGTGTGTGTCTGTGTGTGTGTGTGTGTGTGTCTGTGTGTGTCGTGTGTGTGTGTGTGTGTGTCTGTGTGTGTCTGTGTGTGTGTGTGTCTGTGTGTGTGTGTGTGTCTGTGTGTGTGTGTGTGTGTGTCTGTGTGTGTGTGTGTCTGTGTCTGTGTGTGTGTCTGTGTGTGTGTGTGTCTGTGTGTGTCTGTGTGTGTGTGTGTGTGTGTGTGTCTGTGTGTTCTGTGTGTGTGTCTGTGTGTGTGTCTGTGTGTGTGTGTGTGTGTGTGTGTGTGTGTGTGTGTGTGTCTGTGTGTGTGTGTGTGTGTGTGTGTGTGTCTGTGTGTGTGTGTGTGTGTGTGTCTGTGTGTGTGTGTGTGTGTGTGTCTGTGTGTGTCTGTGTGTGTGTGTGTCTGTGTGTGTGTCTGTGTGTGTGTGTGTGTGTGTGTGTCTGTGTGTGTGTGTGTGTGTGTGTGTGTGTGTGTGTGTTGATCAAATGAAAACCACCTGGAAGAAACTGAACGTCCTGATGCTCCCTGAGATCTTCTTCTTTCTTCTTCTTCTTCTTCTTCTTCTTCTTCTTCTTCTTCTTCTTCTTCTTCTTCTTCGACTTTAAATCAAAGTTGGAGTTTTGGGAGTGAACGGCCTCGTCGACCAATCCCCCGTGTGCGTGCGGAGGGTGGGCGGGGCTTACGCTCTGCTGCGGCTCTGATTGGACGTTTGTGTTTTTAAAGGCGTGCGCTGGTGCTTTCCTGAGCCCTGATTGGCCGACACTCTGGTTTCGCGCCGTGTCTCACGTTTGTGGTTTTCGTCTCGTTCTTTTTGACTCGAGCGGCGGCAGTTTCACTTTGGTCTTTGTCGTTCACAGATGTTTTGAACTCGTTTGTTTCGTTTAAATATTTTAACTCTCAGAAATGTTTTTGATGAGGTGAATTCTGACCAATCAGATCGTTTCTCTGCACCACTTCCTGTTTGTTTCTAATTCAGCTCCGATCTGTTTGGATCCATGTTTCTTTGGAATCTTGGATCTTTGCTGTGAATTTTTTTCTCTGAAGTTTTACTCGTTTGTCTGTTGAATTTGAGTCTTGAAAATATTTGAGCTGAATATTTAAAGATTTTTTGATATTGAATTTTAAACACTTGAGATTTCAGCAACTCAAACTCAGAATAAAAATGATTCAAACATGTTTTTGCAGAGTTAAAACATTTAAAAGTGAGAAATTCAGCAATATTTTAAATTCTAAATGTGACAAATGTTTTGCTCCTCTGGATCTTCACACTGTCTTCATGTGTTTGGTGGTTTGTTGTCTGAAGCGTCTCCAGGGGGCGCTCTGACTCTTCTCACATCAGGAGACAAAATCACCACCAGAGTCCAGGACGAATCAGAGAAATGAAAGACCTGAGTGTGAAGAGAGAGAGAGAGAGAGAGAGAGCGCCCCCTGCAGCTCACACCAGGTCCAGATGAAGCTCAGGTCAGCGGAGGAACCGAGGAACCGTCGGCTGAAACGTTTGGACCAGACGTTTCACCTCGACTTTGTGGTGATATTGAAATAAAAAAGTCAAGTTCTGGACTTTTCCGCCGCGTCTTCGTCTCCTCTGCTCCTCTTCCTCTGCACTTTGTCGACTCTGGTTTTGCCAAATGTTTATTTATTTATTTATTTATTTGTTTATTTATTGATGAATAAATCTGAATAAATCTCCACGTCCAGAAAACTTTAGTCGTTTTTATTAAACCATGAAACAGTGAAGTATTTATAAAAACGACGTCGTTCATCAGAATCTAAATGTATTTGTCATTTCAGTCTAAAAAATCCACAGAAACAAAACGCTGCACTCAGGTCCAGGTCCACAGCAGCACAGAAAATAAGAAGAAGAAATAAGTAAGTCCAGTCTTTAAAAACACAAAGCTCCACCTGCCCCTCGTTTTCTAAAGTGTGTTCCAAGTCGGTGCTGTTTTGTAGGGAGCATTATAGTCTGGGCTACAGGACAGAACTGATCTGTCTCTCGGCATCAGGGTAAAAACTGTTCTGTAGTCTGGTGGTCCTGGCCTGTAGGTGGCGCAGTCTTCTGCCTGATGGAAAAGCTGTAAAAAGTCCATGTGCTGGATGGTGGAGTCTCCATGACGCTGCGGCTTTTGTCCTGCACCTGCTGATGGAAAGATCTTCAGGTCAGATACAGATGCAGCTGCAGATGTTCTCCACAGCTCCAACTACCTTCTGCAGATGTTTCCTCTCTGCCCTGGTGCTGCTGCTGAACCTCACAGTCATGTTGGAGGTGAGGATGTTCTCCACCTCATATATATATATATATATATATATATATATATATATATACACTGTAAGCAATTGCTGTAAATTTACGGCCAATTTCCAACAGTATAAAACTGTATTACTGTAATATAGTTTTATACTGTAATTTGCAATGCATTGTGGGCTGCTGAACGTGAAGCAACACACATGTCTTCAACAGTATGTTCATGTAATAAATCAGAGTAAATCACAGTAAACTACAGTATTTTTGAAATCTGATGTGCGCTAAACTTGCGAGGGAAAGTTTTCCTGCCAGTGCATCAGAGACGTGCTGCAAGACGACCTGCTTCCTCTGCATCAGAATGTGCATCTACAAATAAAACGGAAAGTAAAAACTGTCTATTCAAGTAAAATCATGTTTGAAATCGAACTGTTGCTCAACAAGTTAACGAGTGAGTGAATGTGTTATTGTAAGTTTAATACACTGATCTTCCTTCGAACGAGACAAAAGCAGCTCAGTTACTGCTACACAGTCACGTTAGTAGAACCAGGAGGGAAAGAGGAGCATGAACATATGTACATGTAGCAGAGAATATGAAGGTTCTAACCAGTAAACTACAGTTGGTGCATGAGGAAACAGTGAAATGACAGAGAACAGAGATGATGTGGTGAGTTTATTTTACTTTCTGTCGAGTCTGAATGAAATTTGTTAAACACTGAGTTGAGGCAAGTTAACAAACGTTAATCCTTGTTTGGTAAAACAACTTTTACATGAGGCGTAATGATTTTTGTAACAATTAGACTGTGGAAAATGGGTTTGTTTTCTTGAAATTTGGAATTTAATTGATCTAAATTGTCTGTCTGTTGCAGTATGTTACAGACACACACACACACACACACACACACACATACACAGACACACACACACACACACACACACATACACACACACACACACACACACACACACACACACAGACACACACACACACAGACACACACACACACACACACACACACACACACATACACACACACACACACACACACACACACACATACACACACACACACACACACACACACACACATACACACACACACACACACACACACACACACACACACACATACACACACACACACACACACACACACACATACACACACACACACACACACACACACACACAGACACACACACACACACACACACACACACACACACAGACACACACACACACACACACACACACACACACACACACACATACACACACACACACACACACACACACACACACACACACACACACACACATCACACACACACACACACACACACACACACACAGACACACACACACACACACACACACACACACACACACAGACACACACACACACACACACACACACACACACAGACACACACACACACACACACACACACACACACACACACACACAGACACACACACACACACACACACAGACACACACACACACACACACACACACACAGCACACACACACACACACACACACACACAGACACACACACACACACACACACACACACACACACACACACACACAGACACACACACACACACACACACACACACACAGACACACACACACACACACACACACACACACACACACACACACAGACACACACACACACACACACACACACACACACAGACACACACACACACACACACACACACACACAGACACACACACACACAGACACACACACACACACACACACACACACACACACACACACACACACACACACACACACACAGACACACACACACACACACACACACACACACACACACACACACACACACACACACACACACATACACACACACACACACACACACACACAGACACACACACACACACACACACACACACACACACACACACACAGACACACACACACACACACACACACACACACACACACACACACAGACACACACACACACACACACACACAGACACACACACACACACACACACACACACACACACACACACACACACAGACACACACACACACACACACACACACACACACACACACACACACACACACACACACACACACACACACACAGACACACACACACACACACACACACACAGACACACACACACACACACACACACACACAGACACACACACACACACACACACAC